ATCCATACTGCTTGGTGGTGACTGGAACATTTTTTCCTGGTTAATTTTATGGTTAATCTATGGTTCATAATGGTTAATAATTGGAATAACAATATATCTGCTTGGTGGTATGGAACATGACTGGATTATGACTTTCTATATATAGGAAATTTCATAATCCCAGCTGACGAACTCCATCATTTTTCAGAGGGGTAGGTTGAAACCACCAAGCAGGTTTACTAGAGGGTATATTCCATTAAGTGGATTATAATCCCATTAAATCCCATTAAATCCCATTAAATCCCATTAAATCCCATTAAATCCCATTAAATGGTATACCATCAACCAGCATATGTATCCATTTTTCTGCCACGGTCACAATTGATGATCTACCCGGAAACCATCCACGTTAGGGATTGATCTATCGGCTCGGTGGTTCAACACTTGGAGGTTTCATGAGGTCATGGGGGGAACCTCAAACCATCCATTTATAGATGGTATTAATAAGGATGACTGAACTTAGATTAATACCATCCAGCTGGGTATAAACCATAGATCAGTTTTAATACCTATAATGGTTTAAAATTGAACTATAGAGGTTTATAAACTTATAGATTTTCCGTTTTTTTACATCCAGCTGGGTAACCCCCCATGACTTTGGAAGCGCCTGGCTGTGTTCGTGTTCTCCACAACTACAACTCCATTTCGACATGAGCTATGGTCAATACTCATGGTTAATAACCATTAATAGGGGCTAGTCATCCAATGGTTTATAGGGATTTATAATAACCATTAAAAGGATCCTTACTATGGATGGGATGACCATCAACCATATAGTGAGTATTGACCATGGCTCATATGAACTCCAAAGAGGGCCAGATTGGACAGAAGAACATGTGTCACTCTAGCTTTCGCATTCCATTTCGATCTTTAGGAGGTGGAACAAAGAAAACTCTCATTCAAAGACAGGATTATATCAGTGAAGAGAATTTGGCACCAAAGCAACGCCTGTAGTATTGACCTTTCTCGCAGCTGAAACAGACAGACTCCTTTACCATGGCGCTGGAAATACTCTATTCTTGTAAATAGATCATTTACATTCATTTGGGTATGGATCAATACCTATTAATACCATTTTTAGGGGGTTATTCACATCCATAAATCCCAGCTATTTTGATGTGAACTACAGGGGTACAAGGTCTTGACATTTACATTCATTTTCCTAATGTGGTAAAGCCTAAACCCTAAACCATCCCCAAGTCATCAGCAGTTATTGGTATTAAAAGCTCCACATGGTAGGTTTATGGCCCAATGGCACCAGCAGCATGGGATCAACTTGACTCGGAATGAACTCGACATTACAATTTTCAGAAGAATTTTCTCTGGGGATTTTCTTCTGTTTTTTTTTACATTTGGGTATGAGTCAAAACCTTGGTACCCTAGTGAACCCCAAATAACTGGTAAATGGATGTTCATCCCCCCAAATATAGCAAGATTGGTTTTGATACATCCCCATTTGGGTTTTCCCAATTTTTCAGAGTTTTTCCCCACATGGAGGAGCGAGTTGGTCAATCCCTCGACCGCCGGTTGAATTGTGACCTGCTGCTTGCCTGGCTTCCCAGCAGTTGTCTGCAAACGGCAGGAAGATTTGGCCAAAGGGCCCCATCAGAAGGCCATTTGCTTCGGCATATTATATGTATTTATAATTATTTATATGTAACCACAATCATAAGATATTTTTTCAGTATATATACATACACGTGTTGGGTATCCCAAGCTGTTTCTCATGATTCTTTTTTGGTTTAGGGATGTTTGGGGATTTGACCCATGGGTAGAAACGTAGCAGGGATGCTGCTGACTAGCAATTTGCATGTTCCAGGTGCAAGGCTGACGCATTCACCTATATATATATATATACATATATACACATACACTTGAAGAGTTTTGTCATACTACATGCCTCCCTCTGACCATAACATACACATATTTAAAAACACAACATATTATATATATACATATGAGTGTGTGTATATATATATATATATAAACATCAAACAACAAAAAAAGACAAGCTTGTTGGTGTGATTAAAAGCAACATAAAAACAACTAGCACCAGCCGACCATTTGGGATGATGGTCTGCAATGGCCCACTGCGGTGGTTCTTCCTGGCAGTTTTGGGCCCCAGTGACCCAGTGCCAGCACCGGAGACTTGGTGGCTTAGGAAACCTCAAAGTTGCTGAAAACAGAGGGTTAAGGATTGCAAGCTCATATTATCTCATATTTACTTGAGTATTTAGTGTATAAGTTCCAGGTTTCCAGATTCATGGTAAATATTATATACTGTATCTATTGGGCTTTATAAACCAACTCAAAAATAACCAGAGGCACCACCTTGTGTCCAATTCCTTGCCTGATTTCTACATCCCCTAGAGACCATGGCTTGTGCTAAATTTGTCCATTTTGGTGTGCCTGTTTTCGGAGGGGTTATCATTGGAGAATGCGGGATGAGATGATGTCGCAATGTTTTGCCAAGGACTAGGGATGGATGGTTCGTGACATTTTCCATCCTACCTTGGATGAAACGCCAATGACTAGAATCCAGGTCATGATTGATGGTTCACGATTTCCATCCTACTACTCCAATGATTGATGGTTCACATTTACCATGGATTTCCAATGACTTGAGCCGTGGAAGTGATCAGAAGGCAGGGGGCTCAACCAGCTTGGGAAATTCCAATGGACTGATGCCGCTGCTGGGCGATGCTTATTTTGTCTATCCTATTTGGTAAAGCCCAGTTGGGGATGGTTTGCTGGTTTACCATGATTTACCCCCAAAAAAAACTTGTTTAAAAGTAACCTCATTTTTATGGGATGATTTATATGGGATGATTTCAAAGTGACTTGTTCGAATTTTCATTATTTTTTTTGCCACAGGAAATAGAAATATCATGAAATATCGAGAGTTGCCGCAAAGTTCAAGCTGAAAAAAACCATCCGGTCATCAAACGTTGCTGGCTGGAAATCACCATTTATATCCATTTATAGATCGTAATTTTCCAGCTAGCCATGTTTGATGACACCGGCGGGTAAGCAAGCAGATGTGTGCCCCACAAAGCCCACAAGGCGGTGCCCCCAAATGTTGATGTTTGGTTATAATCCCTTATAAAGCCTTATAAAACATCAAACTAGTGTTAACTAGTTCGAGATATATATATATATATATATCATGATACATCGGCCTTTTCAAGCCAACACTTCGCCTAGTTATGTTTACCAAATGAAGGAACTGGAGCACCACTTGGGGGTTCCCTTTTTCGGTGTGAACTCAGCATGGCAAGGCGACATCGTTGACATCGTTGACATCGGCGGCGACATGGCAGGCCTTGTTGGCGGAAGTGGTTAATTTGGTTGGCGGTTTCATGATGGTTAATGATGGTTTGGAACATTGGTTTAGTATGGGGTAATGATGGTTAATGATGGTCAATGATGGTTAATAATCGCTGGTTGGTGGTTTCACACATTTTCTTTTTTCCCCAATAGTTGGGATGATGATCCAATCTGACTTTCATATTTTTCAGGGGGGTTGAAACCACCAATTAGTTAATTGTTGTCACAATCTGTCGGGACAACTGCACCAAAAATCCATGGTTTTTGACAACTTTCCCCAAAGACTGGCAGGGGTATCTTCCATGTTTGGGCCAAACCACAAAGGGAAGACCTTGTCTCGAAGTGTTGGGCAGATGGCTCCTACTCTTTTTTTTGCTGTCCCTTTCAAGAGACATGAGGATTGACTCGTACAGGCAGTCTGTCCCTTTTCGCTTCACCATGGCCCTTTCCCATTTCTGGGACTTTCCACACCTGGCACAGTAGGTGTTGTACATGCTGTTGCCATGTTTGGTTTGGGAGAGCGCCTGCAGTTCACCAGAAGAGACCCTTTTTCATGCCCGAAAGCGGGCCTACCGTTTTTGGGATCAATATATAATGTTGGGACACATACTTATCCGAAAATTTGAACTATATTCAACATTATATGATCTTCACCCATTCAGATATGTCACTTCAAAAATGATCTTAGTATGAATCACTAAAAATAGATATTATATGAATAGATCTATATATCTATATAGTGATATATATATATATATGGTCTTTATATTAATGATCATTAATATAGATCCCCGTTCTGCGGTGAATTTCTGAATGGAAAAAACGTCACTTTCTCGTTGTGAACCAACTGGGACGACCACAAAAAAAATCATGGGTTTTTGGTGGTCAAAGCCACATTGATAAATTGATAGGATTATATGAATGATATAAAATATAAATCATAGTAAGTATATAGATATATCATGATATATACAGTATCACATATATATATATACACACCATAGTTATTGGAGTTATATGAATATTATATTCTGTTTTTCGCTTATGAGATCTACTGATATGAATCATATGATCATCGATCTATGTACAATATGTTTCTATGTCTCCTTGATTGTTGGATCGCTGCTATTTTTCGTCAGGACGAGCGATCGAAGGCGGCTTGGTATCCTTCGGTATCCTTGGGTCGGTGGTAAAGCTGGGAGATCGACATATGACATATGGCCCATATGGCTACAGGATGGTCAAAATGAGTTTAAAAATAGGGCCTTGGGGACCACAAACTTTGGATATAACCATTATATCAACCATTCTTAATCACCATTAATGATGAATATTAGCATTAACCCTTTCAGCATTAACCATCCTTTAGGGCTACGACCAGCTGTCAGTATCTCAGAAGGGAGGATGGCAATGAGCGCCGTTGACCTAGGAAATTTATTTATTTATTTTTTTCCTAACATTAATATCTATAGTGCCTACAATAGTTATTAACATAAGACCAGTTTTTTTCCGTTTTCCTATCTCAGGATGGGATGAGTGAATAGTTTCCCACCTCTCTGCAGGTTGAGGGTCCTGGCGAAGGAGATGATGAATGCGGTGATTGCTGTAAGAACGTGGTGGAGCTTTGGAAAAACATGGCGGGGGATGGGGATGCGATGGTCTGGGTCAATTGGAATCACTTAGAAGTGGAGATAGGGGACGCGGGCAATAATGGGGATATTTCATGTGATATTTGTCATTGGAATCCAACGAATTCAGTCTGATGGAATGCTAAACCCATATTAATTAAAACCCTGGTTGATTAATTTGGGAGGTTACCCACCAAATAGTGATGATTTGCTACTTAAATGATGTCACCCCATGTCACCCCTTAATATGAAAAAAAACATAAGGGTTTATGAATCCGAAGTTGACATTATTCGGGTCTGTCTGATGATTAACCACAAGAATTCGGGGGTACCTTCTTTGCAGACAAACCCAGTTTCTGGCGGATGCAAATGGAAGTTGTCAAAAAAAAACCGGGCGCATCCCCACATCATTCAAGTCAGACATCGCTGAGTCTATTGTAATATTGGGGGGAGGGACTTTGAAAGAGGTCCACTTTCATGCACTGAGATCAAGTTTGTTTCAATGTAATATATATATATATATGTATGGTAGTACGCTGGTCGACATCATGGAGCATGAACATCAGTGGGAACACCCTTTTGAGGGCTCATCAGCTATCCAGTGGCGGAACAAGGACATTGGCTTTCCCAGGACCATTCGTTGATTAGCGATGGGTAAAGAAATCCCATTGGAAGGCCGCTTGATTCCATGGAATTCGTCATCTGGAAAACCATGAATCACCGCCATGTACCTTCTGGTTATGTCAACAGTTTGCTATTGAAGCCATGGCCCAGTCGAAATAGTGAGTTTTCCCATTTAAAAAAATGGTGGATCTTTCCAGTTCGTTCTGTGACTGTTTACCATGTTTACCAGGTCGGGGATTCTTGATGAATGTGGGATTCGCCATGGCCGCAGGTTGAGGAGGAGAGACACTTTGCACTGCTACTGGATGCCCCTTGGATCCCCAAGGGACTCGCAGCTGGCACCAACTTTTTTGTGAAATTTATGGGGACTTGATGGGGACTTGCCAGCAATTTAGGCCAGTAAACAATGGGAAAACATGATTTGCTGAAAGATATGGGAAGATGATGATGGGCAGAGGGAATCCATCCGTTGGAGTGTTACAATCGTTTGCCCACCATGGTCACCATTGGCGCCGATCCATCGATCATGTGGACCCGGCGATCCAGGATGCCCCCATAGCCATGATCCATACATCTCTACCGACATTACCGACAGTGATCCATACCCTTGATCCATACCCAAAAATGACAAGTACTTATACCAGGCCACTTTAGTATACCTTTTCAGTAGGTCGTGATCAAACCGCTGATACGTAACTCGTCCCATACGTCTGGATCACCGCGGAACCATCAATACCCGTTGTTTTGCTGTTTCCTGAGGGGACATGGATCATAGCGGGACATTTCATCCCAACCCAATGAATATTGTTCGGTATATTTCAGGATGTCCTGACATCCCATCCAGTAGATGAGCAGTGTTCAGAATTCCTCTATCATTCCATTTAATCCTGTTTTTTTCTTTTGGGATTCCCCGTTCTTGGATGATTGTAATCCCCAATATATGTAGGGTAGTTTTTTATCCCCGAACTCATCATCAACCAACCATCACTTATCAGTTATATTGACTCATATCCTCATATTTGCATGGTAAAAATCCCATTTAAATTACTATAGGCCATGAAAATATATGGGCATAGTGGCTAAAATAGGCTAAAATCCCATTTCATCGCGGCTAAACCCCTGCTAGTTATCCCATTTAAATAACCCTCTGGTAAACTAACATAGCTATTGAAAATGGCCAATTATAGTCGATTTACCCATAAATAGCATGGTGATTTTCCATAGTTTTTTGTATGTTTACCAGAGGGTAAACCTCCATTTTCCTATGGTTTTCCTATGGTTTTCCCATTTTCCCATGGTTATCCCATTCAAATTACTATAATCATCCACCAGGCTTTAGCCACTGCTCGTCGATGGCTTTAGGATGATCCCAACAAGTTTTTTTTTTTTCTCGGGATGCCATTTCAGTCACAGCACCAGTATCCAGATATAAAAAAGATGGCAATAGAAAAACCACCATCTATGTGTATACATAATCATGTATACATATATATATATATGTATCATATATATATATATATGTATCATATATATATATATGTATCATCTATATATATATATGTATCATCTATATGTATATATATATATATATGTATCATATATATATATGTATCATATATACATATATATGTATCATATATTTATATATATGTATCATATATATATATATATATGTATCATATATATATATATGTATGTATCATATATTTATATATATGTATCATATATATATATATATGTATATATATACATGATATATATATATAGTTATAGATGATATATATATATGATATATATATATATGATATATATATATATATACACGATATATATATATATATATATATATATCATATCATATATATGATATGTATATATAGATAGATTCATGATTTTCCCTTGAACACCTTAAGATATTTATAGGGGATTTTCCAGCGAGCCATGATGTCCGAAGGGTCTCCAGATTTTCGACGGGTGACATCCCAGATCACAAGGTCCATTTTAGCATCCCATTTACTGTATACCCTCTGCTAAATAAACATAGACCCTGAAAATAACTAATTTTTAATGGAAACTAATCTTCCAACCCCTATCTGGCAGGGTCTATGTTAATTTACTGGAGGGTAAATTATATACCTCTTCAATTCAACATCGAACATACAACATCTTCGGAAGATGGTCGATTTGGCCAGTTTTAAACCGGATCAGGTCTTGGCGAATGAGATCGTCCTTGTTTGGCGAAGTCCAGCTGATTGCGGTAAGCGACATCATCCCAAACATATCCCTAAAAATTGCGGATTTCAGCTTGGTGATTTCAATGATGTCTATGATGTCTATGGTTCCATATTTTAAGCATAGCAAATTCATGGGATGACGGTCATGATGATCTAAAGATCGTGGGCGCAACCGACAAGCTGCAAACTGCAAGCTGAGGTCGGACTCTGCATGGCCACCCTCGTGGCGCTCGGCTGTGTCTCCTTCATTGTGGGTGGATGGGTGCGAGGCCCTGTCAGTACAGTGGGATTTTCATCGTAACCACAGGAATATGTCAGTTTTACTGTTGTACTTCGTTACTTTTTTGGTGTATACAATATACAATATGAAAGATAGTGTGAATATACATGTACATAATGTGTTAATCATATGTTAATGTATTTACATTTATAGTACAATTTAACATAGTCATGGAACTCACAGAAGATCAACAAACAAAGCATGGTTCGACTGAGGTGAAGCCACGCGCTCCCAAATACTGGACCAGGAGGTACTTGTCGGTGGATGGGACGATCTTTTTTTTTGACCCGGAAAACTGAGATTTACACTCTGGTTATTTAACATAGCTATGGAAAACGGCCCATTTACAGATGAAATTCTCTATGAAACCTCAATTTATCATGGATTTTCCATAGCTATGTTAAATGACCAGATGGTACACTCTGAAACATGGATAAAGACGTGAAAATTCAGAAATGGTCAGGAAGTGCAGCGATGATTTGAAGTTTATTTCCAAATTGATCAATATTGATCAAACTAGCTCCAAGAAGAATGGGTTTGGAAGTTTTGGAAGAGAGCCGTTCTGGTTTTCGGTTTTCAATGTCTGGAACAGATACAGAAACCTGATGCCAGAAAGACAGTGCGGGAAGGCAGTATTTTGGTGCGTCTGAAGTATGGGGATACCAATGAAGATATGATGAGTAACCACAAAATTCAGGGGTATCCTGTAGACCCAATCTGTTCAAGAAAGCCATTTCTGGCTGTCGTTTTTTTAAAATTATTCTTCTAATTCTCTGGGAATCAAACATGGCTTGCCGGAAAGCCACCCAGTTAGTTGGATTATTTTCCCCGTTTCAATGCCGATTTCGTTCGGGGATTTCGCAGCGGCCTGAAATGTTTGACTATGAAAGGGTAATTCCGTGAAGAACCATGAAAGTCACCAGCAATAATCATTACTATTACTCACCACCAATGACCATTGATCACCATTATATACTAGCCATTATATGAACCACTCATAACCACTCTATATTAATCATTCTATTTTAACCACTATATCAACCACTCTATATCAGCCACTCTATATTAACCACTCTATACCAGTAGTGCCCGGCACGCGCCGGGGCAGAAGTGTCGAACATAGAAAAATGACTATAAGAAATCAATCGCCTATACGAAAGTCTTTGGGATGCCGAAGCAATGAGCTGTTGCAGTTGTGAGGTGCATCAACGAATGAACACATGGTGGTTGAGATGCGAATGAAATGACATGAAAGAGTCCATGCACAACTGACTGAAGGAGCCAATTCACCAATGAATCAATGAACGAATGAAAGAGTGAATTAGTTAGTCGAATGAGTCAATGAATGAATGCATCAATGAATCAATATATCAGTGAATCAATGACTCAACTAATCAATGAACGAGTGAATCAATGAATGCATGATATAGCGAGTCCAGGAGTCAGTGAATCAGTGAATCAACGAATGAATGAATTAGTGAGTTGATGAACCAATGAATCAGTGAGTGAGTGAATAAATGGATGGACGGGTGAATGGTTGGATGGATGAGTGAGCTACTTCTTTGTTGAGCTACTTCTCCACTGAGCGACCCCTTCGCTGAGGTACCTCTTGTCTCAGCTACTTCTTCTCTGAGCATCTGTGCTACTTCTTTTTTGACCCTGATCTGAGCTGCCTCCCAGCTAGCTCTTCTATAGCTTTTGCAGCCCAATTCTTCTCTGCGCGCAGCTGTTACAATGCGTTCAGCAACCTCCAGCTGCAATCCCGCATAGCACAAGAGTAGCACTATGGTCAAGAACTACCTGTCGCGCTGCTATTACATTGCGTTTAGCACCCTCCAGCTGCAATCCCGCTTGCCAGGAGCGTTCGCGCAGCGCCAACAGTGCGGACCTTTTTAGGCTATGCTGCCCCCCTTAGTTTTTTACGACCTCGTCTCCCAAAAGCGCTCCGAGCATGCCACTTTTTTAACATTTTGAAATGCAAACCGAGCTCTCGCTGCAGTCTGGAGCACATTTTGCCAACCTGATCTGCCAAAAGTGCCACGTGCCAGCAGCTAGAAGCAAATTTTTGACCAAAATCAAGCTCTTGTTACAGTTGCACTTTTTTCTCGAGATAGAGGCGCGCACCCGCAGAAACCGACCCTACTTCGGCGACCCGGATGCCACTTTACCCGAAAAAGCGCAGGGTTTCGCGCCTGAGAGCGCTTTCACTCATGAATTCACACGTTCCCGAACTGTTACTCTTCTCTGCTGCTCCCACACGCGAACTGCTCTTGCCCACCATGTTTCATGATGATGCTGACATGAGGATGACATGATGATAAGACGGCCGGTCCGTAACTCAGAAGTTTTGGAACTAAACTTCCTTGGGTTAGTAACCACTCTACGTCAACCATTAAATTAAATCAACATATATCAACCATTAAATCAGCCAGTATACCAACCAGTATATGAACAATTATTCGAATTTGCCATATCATGGGACAGTGGTGATCCCATGGCACTCGTGGCCATCGTCGCTCTCGAGGACCTGGAACCCCTTCAGTGACGACTACTACGCGGAGGCCGCGGGGGTTGGTTCCATACATGAACATGGAATGCTGCGAATATGAACAGAATTTCTGGAATAATCGTGTTTATATGATAAATCTCAATATAGATATATAAATATAAATCTAAATATAAATGCAAATACAAATAAAAGCAACTTTCTTCGAGTGATCCCCACCCTGAACCACTATTCTGACATAGTTTCTGACATACCATCTGGAAGTATATATGGCATATATTTGTGCTAACATTCTATCTGACAATATCTGACTTTCTTTCTGGCATATACTTTGACATTCTCTCTCACATTCTATTTGTTTTCAGGCATTCATTCTGGCATTCTTTCTGGCATATGTTCTGACATTCTCTCGGACATTTTCTGGCCTGTGTATCTGGCATATCTTCTGACATTCTTTCTGGCATTCTATCTGGTATATATATTATATCTTCGGAGATTCTTTGTGGTTGAGGTCCGGTAGCACTTGCAGTTGAGGTCCGGCGGGGAACACTCTGCTCCTGAGCTTGCTGTTCAGGTCCGGCGGAGAACACTGCGATCTAGCACTTGCAGTTGAGGTCCTGCAGGGAACACTCTGATCCTCAGCTTGCTGTTCAGGTCCGGCGGAGAACACTGCGATCTAGCACTTGCAGTTGAGGTCCGGCGGAGGAGGCGGAAGAGGAGGCGGAGGATGAGGCGGAGGACAAGGCGGGACAGCTAACATAAAATCTAACAACCCTCACCTGACAGGTGGGGAGACATCAAAATAAATATAGACACAAATCGTGGAATTCCACATGTCAAGGTATACATATACAATCATAGTTATATGTATATATATTGATTGTTTTTTTTATTTTTTTATTTTTTTTAATCTATTTATTTATATTTTTATTTATTTATTGATTTATATTTTTATTTATTTATTTTTATTTATTTATTTATTTATTTATTTAGTTATTTATAGATACACATACATACACACACACATATATATATATATATATATATGTATAAAAGATAAATACGTACATATTGGCATTTAGAAATGGTATGACTATCGCGGATTCCGCTCAGATGGTTTTGTCCAATGTGATTGAAATGTTCCCCCCGACCGACTTCGTCACTTCTCGTGGCACTATTTGTGAAATGTTTCGGGGTCCTACCTTTTGAGTCAGTTGCATGGTTCTTTGGTTCATAATTAACTTAAGGTAAACTCAAGTAGATGTGGAAAACCAGTGGTTTCCTGAGGAACATGATCTACAAATGGTGGTTTTCCCACATTTATGCTAGTTTACTGGAGGGTAATGTGTACAAATGCACAATTTAGTTTATTTATATTCTTACACAAGTGGGATATATAAATGGGATCAACCCCGTTTTCGTTTAGGTTTCAACTAGTTTCACCTGCTCGCACATGGAATGCGCATGACAAAGATATGCACCTGTGGAGACGGTCGAATGAGCTGGTCAACCATCAAAACCTGTACCGGTCCATTTTTCGTTAGTTGGCAATCCCAAAAAAAAATACGACAGCAATGCACCGCCTTATTTTAGAAGGGTTTTACGGACCTAACTGTTTGAATATTTTTTCAGGGATTGTCATAGATATGTTCCATGCAATTTCAGGTATAGTTAGAAATTTGCCATGGAAATTATATACCCCTGGAAATTCTGCAGATGTATCACCTCTCCAAGCTGTTCCTTTGTGGTTTGTTGCATGAGATTTTGGACCGTTGTGTTGTCTCACGTTGGGCCCATCTTTTCCAAGTTGCGTGAAGTCAGCATGGTTGGAACCACATGACTATGGACCAATACCTATAAATAAAGGTGTCCTCAAATGGTGGTACCCTAAATCATCCATTAGTAGATGGATTTATTTTATTTTCCATTCTATATAAACCATCTAGCTATGATCCCCCGTTGATTTCGGAACACCCCCATTTTGTTCCGTCCATTTTTGTTACAGCCTGTGGTTTTTCACGCCTCAGGTGGAGGTCACATCCGAGCTCCGGGACATCGTTCAGCAACTCTTCGACATGACCACCCAGTCGGAGCCAAAACCGTGTCTCGCTGGGGACCAATGGGATCAACTGGATGGAGAGTGCAGTCATTTTTTGGGCACTGGAGCTACAGAATTCTGACTGGTGCGTTTTACGCAGGGAATTTTCGGGAATGATCCATTTCATCACTAGTAATCATCCCAGCAACCACCAGCAACCCATCCATTCCCTACGTTTAGGTATCATGTTATAGGCGAAGTTTTAGATGCTTCAATCCTGACCATATCAGACTATGATCAGATTGGTCAATATAAAATCTGGTTGGTGGTTTGGAACATTTTTTATTTTTCTACACATAGGCAATAATCACCCCAACTGACTAATATGTTTTTTCCGAGGGGTTGAAACCACCAACCAGAAATGGTTTTAGAAATGAAGAAATCAGCAATTTCACCAGCTGAGCGGCCTTAGTTCCAGGAGAACATGGGTCGCGGAGAGGATGGAAAGTGGGCCAGCCACAAGTCTTTCCGCGTCCTTCAGGCGGGTGGTGAAACCATGGGGATTTGGAGGATCCTTTGATGGAAAACATGGATAAACATTGATAAACATGGGACTTTGACATGATTTTAAGGAGCAAATCACCATGAAACATGGGCTGAGCTTTGAACCGTGGGACAGTTTTCAAGGTTCAACTCAACATGGGCATTTGGGTGTTTGAACATGGGTATACCCCCCAAAATGGCAATTTTAATACGCAAAATGGATGAAAGATTATGATTAATGATTAATCCGACGGGCTCCAATCTAGTGATGCATGGGTTTCAAGGATTTCTTACTTTGCAGGTGAAAAATAAGACACTTGACATTAATAGCTCGGATGAGCCGGCATCCAGCCCTAAAGGGGACGGCAATCATGGCAATTCTCCAGTCGGACTGATGATGATAAACTGAATTCAACTGATAAAGCATCAAATATCATCAAATGTTGTGTTTTTTTTGAAACCAACATTTTCAGATTTTCATTTGTCAACCCGCAGTTCTTTCATCTTCCGGCTGTGGCTGAAGGATCGTCCTGCAGGAAACGGGCACCAAAAACTATGGTGGATAATCTTCGGAATTTACCATCCGGTGTCATCAAGCATTGCAGAAATCCCCGAACCAATTGGATGTTTCAATGATTTTCATAGGAACATATAGGAACATCATCGATAAATGGGTGATTGTCCATTGCCAGTTTTGTTTTGCTGAGGGTATTATGATGATATTTCATTGAGCTAGCATGATAAAACATGCAACTTGCTATGCAATCATTATTTCTCAAAGTCACCAAATTTATTGGAGTTTGTTTGTTTCACTTACCCTGTAATGCACCGTTTTCTAATGGAAACCATGGCCCATTCAGTTCGATGGCGGATCATTTCTGAACAGGACACGAATGGATTTTCAAAGCTATTTGTATGTTTACTCAAGGGTATATCCACTGTATTACCTGTAAAACCTTTACAGTTCGATGTGGAGAAGCCACCAGTTGTAGATCCTAAAATCGTTTTTTTTTTCCCATGGCGTTTCCCATGGCTTTCTGCCAGCGCAAGGTGCACCGTATCGAGAACGGGCCTCTCTGGACCTCTTATGCCCGGCTCAGAAAGTCCATCTGCAGCTGGAAGGTCAGAGATGAAATGACTTGGAGATAGGACCCAAAAGGGTGGAAGTGGATTTGTTGGGAGCTATAGTTGATACAGTAATATAGACATGATAGATATGATAGTTATTGGAATGTAGACTTGATTTATTTTCCAGACAAGTTGGTGGAAGTTACATGCATATTTTCTAGGTAAGAGTTGCTTTATGACCGCACCCTGGGGTAACCAAGATGGGGTACCCAAAAAGCAAGGGGTGAAACCAACCTATGTCCCGGAGGTAATGCGATCTAGGTTTATCTTTGGCTATTTTGCAACCATGATGGTGGTTAGTAAGAGAAGGTAAGGGCAAGCATTCCAAATGCTATGTGTAACCCCGAAAGAGGGAATTTGGTAGAACCCAACTCAAATTATCATAAGTCACTTTTCTATCTTTTTTTTTGGTTGCTATAGTTTCAATTTTGCAAACATAATCGTTTGCCTACATCCCGGGCCGTCAATAAGAAAAACAGTGTATAAATGAGACTCAAAAATGAGTAGATTTAACAATAAAGCAAGAGTTCGGGGGTGTGTTCATTCGTGCTTGTAGGAGAAAGGAATAATCTACACAAATAGGATAAAACTAACCCTCATTGTCATGAGTTTGCCATCCAAAGATGCAATACTTGTTAGTGGTGAAACAGTCATTTGCCTCCAAAAAAAGTGATGTTTATCATTATAGTTGTTTATGCTAGCGCCGACAATAAAGAGGCGGGGGTGTTTAACGCTTTTCATCGTCCAATGCTTTCAAGTGGGTATGGGGATGGGTGGGGTGCTTGGCGCGTCTTGGTCCATGAGGTTGTTAATGTGATGTGTAGTTGCGTTCCCAATGTTTAATTATGTCTACACATGCATGGACCAAGACGTAGCTATACAAACACACATAAATGTGTACATATATACATATATTATACATAATTATACATATATACAAATGTTTCAGATCATGTAATGTAACTCAAAGTCAGATTTTGTTCAAATACACACTCACACACTTCCTGTTTAGTTCACCATCGGATCTTTGGACAGCTGTGCCAGATGTCTTGGAGCACATCCGAGAAAGTTAAAAAGAGCGCGCGTCTTTACGGGCGCTACCTTGTTTGTGAACCTGAACTGTTATTAACCTCCCAAGTTAGTTGTTTATATATATATATATATTACATATATATAAATGTAATATATATATGTGATATATATATAACATATATATTACATATATATATATATATTACATATATATATATTACATATATATATATATTACATATATATATATATTACATTTATATATTACATATATATATATATTCCACATATATATATATATTATATGACATTTAAATATATGATTATGTATGTGTTTTTATTGCCTAGGAACTTTCAGTAACTATTAGCATCCAGCCGTGCCCACTGGCTTGGACAGTCGACCGCCAAGAAGATTCCCCAGGCTTACGGGCGCCCAGAACGGGGGCGGCGGTTTTTAGTAAAGGTCAGGTCTTTAGTAAAGATCAAGCTTTTAGTAAACTTGAGCCACTGAGAATTTTCGGATCATGGAAGATTCTTGAAGTACTTGAACCACAAAAGAAGCAGATGATTTTGCGACATCAAACGATGTCACTGAACATCAAATTGCATAAATTGATGCATTAGGTATAACAGCTGACACAAGAAATGCATAGAAATACCATCTATATCCATTTATACACTTGGTGTTTTTTTTGGGTTGCAAGTCCCAAGGCCACACAGAAATATCTCGATCGGATCTTCCTCACCCAAAAGTCGCGAAAAAAAATGTGGTCATTTAGCGGTTTGCTATGGAACACCACTGTAAATCATGGCAAACCATCTATAACCGGGCCATTTTCCATCGCAAAGCATAACAAACTAGGTACACGGCTCACAGGCGGCCGTGAGGAATTCAGCACACCAGCAATGCTGAGCATTTGTTTTTCTGCTGATTTACAGTGGTCAGAGCATTCCAGTCCATTTTGGATCTTTCACGCAGCCGTGCCATTGGTTAAAGCGGCTTCATCTCGTAATTAGATGGGGAAAAATATGTTTTTTAGTCATTTTGCAATGCAGTCAAACTATTTGTTTCAGTGGATGAAGCCGTCATTGAAAGTCATGATATTTCTTCAGCAGATCGACAAGGCATGACATCAATTCTTTGGGAGAACACGGCAAAATTGTTTGACGCCACATCCATTGCTGGATCATTGAATACTTGTAAGGCGGGCAGCCAAGAACGTTATCAGCCCCCCCCAAAACCCCCCCCCAAAAAAACAACAATGCAAAAATCAAGAGTGTCTTGCAAGTGACAAGAAGAAGTTGATAGCGTGTGCCAGGGTACGGTGCAAGAGAAGAGTGGATAGCATAGCAGCAAGTCCAAGAGAATATCTTGTAAGGCGGGCAGCCAAGAACGTTATCAGCCCCCCCCAAGAAACAACAATGCAAAAATCAAGAGTGTCTTGCAAGTTACAAGAAGAAGTTGATAGCGTGTGCCAGGGTACGGTGCAAGAGAAGAGTGGATAGCGTAGCAGCAAGTCCAAGAGAATATCTTGTAAGGCGGGCAGCCAAGAACGTTATCAGCCCCCCCAAAACCCCCCCCAAGAAACAACAATGCAAAAATCAAGAGTGTCTTGCAAGTTACAAGAAGAAGTTGATAGCGTGTGCCAGGGTACGGTGCAAGAGAAGAGTGGATAGCGTAGCAGCAAGTCCAAGAGAATATCTTGTAAGGCGGGCAGCCAAGAACGTTATCAGCCCCCCCCCAAAACCCCCCAAAACCCACGGCCGTCTATAAGCCGTGGTCCAACTACCAGAGGGTATCTAGTTCATAAGTTGACCACATGATGGCAACACCAACTAGTTATCTCACCAGTTGCTGGTTAAGTAGTTAGCTATGGACTTATTTCCATATAATTCACTCTCTGGTTATTTAACATAGCTATGGAACATGGCCCATTGATAGATGATAACATGTAATGATTTACCTCTGAAATTGGTTATTTTCCACTTCGCAACTAGATAACCGCAGGGTTGGCTGGTGATCACGAGCGTCAGGAGCACTGGATCCATCGAAATTGGCATGGGGAATGCTTTTCAAAAATGAATAGGACCATATAGGATATATTATATTTTGTATGAGTTTATATGGAACACATGGGTTTATAGGACAATTTCTTTAACTGAAGTTGATCGGGTTAAATCTTCAAATGAATAGGAACGAAAGATGAACATGTATTAAAATCCGATCATCCCATGAAGAAAGTAGCTGGTTGGTAACCATAGTGATTAGTAACCATAGTTATAAGCCATTGATATACTTTATAAACTTTATCTTTATAAACCATAGTTATAAAGCCATGAAAATCTATAACTTTTTATAACCCCATAGTTATAAACACTCATAGCCATTGATCTATTTCACCAGGCTGGCCTGCGACTGCGCACGGAAGAGGCCATTCAGGACCAGCTGATCGGTCAGCATGGGGGATCAAGCATCAGGTTTTGTCCTGGAAAAACCACAGTTACTTAAGATGACTTGCCCTCTAGTGAATTCACTAACATAGACCCTGAACATAACCAATTTTTGATGGAAACTCATCTTGCAACCCCTATCTGCCAGGGTCTATGTTAATCTACTGGAGGGTAAGTCTATTTTTAGGTATTAACCACCCAATTTTGGATTTCAGAACTGGGTCAAGCTTGGTTTAAAAAAACGAATTAGTAGTGTAATCGTTTGCTATGAATGGTGCAATGATGTAAAATGTACTAACCAGCTAAAAAAACATATTTTTCCCCACCTGCCAGGTGAGGGTTGTTAGATTTTATCAGAGTTGTTCTCCTCCTCCTCGGCTAGCTATCCTCCTGCTCCTCCTCGCCAGCATCTCCTCCACCACCTCTGCCTCCACTTCCACGTCCACTGTTGCCTTGCCAACTCTTCGCCAAGCTCTTCGCCAAGCTCTTCGCCAACGTCCGAGCTCAGTGTGCACCGCTGGACCTCAACCTGGGACCTTCCCAGCTCAGTGGGCACCGCTGGACCTCAACCTGGGACCTTCCCACCTCAGTGGGCACCGCTGGACCTCAACCGGGGACCTGCCCAGCTCAGTGTGCACCGCTGGACCTCAACCTGGGACCTTCCCAGCTCAGTGTGCACTGCTGGACCTCAACCTGGGACCTGCCCAGCTCAGTGTGCACCGCTGGACCTCAACGGCCAGATAGAATGCCAGAAGATATGCCAGATAGAATGTCAGATAGAATGCCAGAAGATATGCCAGATAAAATGCCATGAGATATGCCAGATAGAATGCCAGAAGATATGCCAGATAAAATGTTAGAAGATATGCCAGGTAGAATGCCAGAAGGTATGCCAGATAGAATGTCAGATAGAATGCCAGAAGGTATGCCAGATAAAGTGCCAGAATGTTTGCCAGAACATATGCCAGAAGATTTGCCAGATAGAATGCCAGATAGAATGTCAGAAGATATGCCAGAAGATATGCCAGATAGAGTGCCAGAAGATATGCCAGAACATATTGCTGAAGATATGCCAGGTAGAATGCCAGAAGATATGCCAGATAGAATGCCAGGATATGCCAGATAAAATGCCAGAAGATATGTCAGATAGAATGCCAGAAGATTTGCCAGTAACAAAACGTATAGATGTCATGGTGGGGATAACTCGAAGTATAGTATTTTGGCAGGTATCTAAGATTCACCATGATCAGATTTTTTCAAGGGAGATTCATGGGATTTAGGTAACATGCATGAGTTGTGTGTCTGAAAATGGGGGAGACTTAAAATGGCATTTGAGCGAGGCAAACATATGACAAACTGGATTTTGGGGTGACCTATTTAGAGAAATCCATTGGTCAAGGCTTGGGAAAAGTCCTCCGAACTGTCTCCTTTGTTTCCTATGGTTTCCTAAAATGGTGCTACTCCAAGTTATCCAAAATTAGATCATTTTAGTATTGAAACCCATGGGTTTTGGGATCACCCATTTTA